AGTTGTCGCTATTACGTTGCCATAAGGTTTTAAGTTCGTTTTTTGAAAACGTTGTCGTGAGGTTGTCATTACGACGTCTTGATATCGTCTCATGTAGGTTATTCCATGACGTTGCTATTGAGTTGCCAAAAGCACGTTGTCATAACGTTGTAATGTGGTATTTTGAAGTGTTGCTGTAATGTTTTAATCTTGACGTTGTGATGACGTTCAAATGGTTTCATAACGTTGTCGAAATGTTACCTGTTTTTACGTTACTATGACGTAGTGCCTAGGTATTTCCAGAACGTTGTCGTTATGTTGGATTTTGGCGTTGTGATTACGTTGTAGGAAGGTATTTTCATAATGATGCTTTTAAGTGTTAAAGATAGGTTGTCATTACGTTGTGGGTTGGTATCTTCTCAGTTTGTGACCCTCTGAAAGGGTGTTATAGATAATGGGATGTGCTATCCCAGTAATTAAACAAAGTTGTCATAACGTAGCCATATCGGTAGATATATATAGTTTTCTCATATAGACATAATGTAGGCCTACTTTCCAAAATGCATATTACTTATTGAATCAGGTTGTTTTCATTTCATTGCAAAGTTTTTTTGAAAATAAATGAAATGCTGTATGATTGGGATGTAATGAAAAGGAACGCCTTGATATAAGTCTCACCCAACAAAGTATTTTCTGTCTCTCGGTGTGTTGGTCTATCTCAGTCAGGCCCATCGTGGCTAATATTTAGGCATAAGTTGACCCGGCCATATGGAGCAGATTACCAAAAGTGGAGCAACCCAGGGACAAGTGAATGCAATCCAGCGGGTGGCACTATTGGTTGTGGTTTGGAGTGGACCGTTGTAATTTAAGCACTACATATTGAAACAGATTTTTTTCAAACAGTATTTATACTAAATCAAGACTTTTGCGTAGTTTCAAACTATCTTCTCTCAGTTGTATAATTATTGGTACATGTGGATGTAAAAGGGGTATACGTACAAACCAATCTTTGAAAGTGGAGCATCCGGGAGACTGGAGAAAGTCAGTTAGTGGTGACCTTGATGGTGGTTTTGACCGTTGGAATTTAAGCGGTACCCATTCCATCTACAGCCACCAAGTCAACCGACCAAACCTACCGCGCTTCGCCAAATCTAGCTTCTCTCTTCAGGTAAGACATAGTAACCTTTATTTTTGATTTTGATAAGTACGTAGATTGGGTGATACCGATGATAATATACATATACTCAGTTTATAAGTTGATTATTATTTTGTACCGGTACCCTAACTATACGGGAAAACGTCAGCTTGCATTTTTGTTGTCAGTTTTTTATCGATAGTGTCGGAAGTTTTGGTAGTCACAGTGTGTCATAACACTA